ATATATAGATATATAGATAGATAGATAGATAGATAGATAGATAGATAGATAGATAGATAGATAGATAGATAGAGATACACACACAGCATTGCTGCCTCATCTAGCACGTGTTTAAACGTAGCACACAATACTTTTTTCTGACTTTCAGACTTCACCTTGTGGTTGTAGAAGTGTCCGTTGATGGAGAAGCGATGGCGTCTGATCTTCCTCTGGTCGCTGGGTGAGCGCCGCTGGCCCCGTCTCAAGACGCCGGCATCGCTCTTCGTCCTGAACAGCTGAGCGGAGCTATCGCTGTCCTCTGTCCAATCAGTCATAACATCAGCTATTATTCAGTGTTATTTAGACTCATCTTTAAATGAAGTTGTGGTGGAAGTAGTGATACCACAGTGAAGGAACACTGTGGCAAATAAAAGTCTGGCAGTTAAAGTTTTATTTGAGTGAAAGTACGTAAGTATTCCCATCAAAAAAAACCTTAGTACCAAAAGTAAAAGCAGGACGGTCATTTTCAGAATATGTACTTTTAAAAGTGGGGCAAAAGGAGTATATCTAACATTCAGGTAAAAACAGGATGAAGCAAATATGAGAGACAGATGTGATGCTCTCTTCTTATCTCACTGATGTCAGACGCAAATGCTCTGGACCAACTAAAGATAAGGCTTTAATTCCTTTCCACCTTACACTGATGTCATGTTTACACAAAGCAGCTGAGGGTTAATTAGAGATTTGGTCCACAGTGTTGTTTTTAAACCTAAAGTTAATTTGATTTTAACACAACGTTTCTTTTTATGTCTTGGGAGCTGATGAGCCAACACAAGTAAAAGAAGTGAAAAGGTATTACTTAATGACTCAGCGGTTTCGGTGTTGGTATTGATGAATGCATGTCGTGACTCACCTTCTTCTGTCTGTTCTTCCATCACATCCGAGTCCTCTGGTTGGCTGTCAGGTGGCGTCACTTCCACTGTGGGCGGGCTCTGCTGTGTCGTCTGTTGACCATCTGTGCTGTTGGGGGAACTTTAAAAAAAAAAAAAAAGAGAGACGAAGAGACTGTAAAGATACAACCAAAATACTTTCTGCATTCAAACTGTTATTCTGGCGATAGATACATATTTTACTTTGTTTTAGACAGACGTTACAGTGGAGTCATAATGTCAACAGCGTAAGACTTAAACTCTGGAGTAACAACATCTCCATAAAAACACTGACACACTGTTATTATTATAGACCTCGTTAAGCAGCAGACGTTTGTTAACCACTTAAACACCACGTCGGTCAGTTTCAGCTTGTGACAGCTGTTCCTCTTTATTGATGCAGTTTTTCATGATATGTGAAAGTATATTCCTTGAATATGTAAAGTAATGTTGCTTTATTTTCGGACTGAAGCATCAGCAACACCAGCAGGAATAATTTAGCCTCTTTGGGAGCTCTGTGTTTGAGAGGTTGTCTGTATTTCAAAACTCGCAGTATCAAAACCTGATAGCAGGAACTTTTTTGTTGCTGCAAACAACCTGAGAAAATGCAACTTCACAGCTGTGGTTTGTAAGGTGATTTAGATACTTCAAAGTTAACGTCCTTTTTCATGAAGTGTTGATGTTATTTTGTCCCTACATGTCTGTGAGGTCTGTTTTTATAGAACAAGAATACTGATGAATGAATACAGAAAGGGGCTTCAAGCCTATCGACGCTAATTGATCTGTGGTAGCTTGGGGCAAAATCCAAAATGGAGGCAGCAGTGTTAAAAGGTTCCCCTTTGTCTCTGGACTGTTGCCAATAGGATTTAGCAAACTGTGAAATCAATTATCTAATTCAACCTCGACATAATCCATATCTGACCCCTGCTGACCCGCTGGGCATCACCATTTCCGGTCATCGAGGCGTAACTGGATCCGTCCGGACCTCTTACCCTTGACTGTCCAGATTGCAACCCGAGTGCCAGGACGTGGAGGAGGGGGGCGGGCGGATCCGCTCGTGGTCATCCTGCATCTGAAGCCTGATTGGCCGCCGCAGGCCCCAAAAGATATTCAGCAAGCCCTCGACAATCAGCTCCCCCTCTTCCTGTTGGGAGAGAGGAGCCGTGGTCAATACACACACACCCAATGGGCTGTTATTACCCTTCTGGGATACAGCGCACAGGACTCATTAAATTACAATTGACAGAGTAAATTGGTGACAGGAAGGCAGACAGACGGTAGTGAAAGTGCTTCTGTTGAACACACACACACACACACACACACACACACACACACACACACACACACCTCTCTGTGTCTGAGCTGTAGGTTCTGTCCTTCATAGTAGAGGTTGTACATCTTCAGATGTGAGAGGACTGTTGCCCTGGAGACAGAGAGGAGGAAATGCTGATTTCACGTATTTGTAGCCCACTTATGTAAATATATGTGTGTGTGTGTATCATGTGAACTACATTCTACAAAGCATCAGATGTGGGTTGATTGATGTCATGCTGTCAAGGCAGCCTTTGAAATAAAAAATAAATCTTCTTTTAGAGACTAGAAATGTGCTAGAAAAAGGCGACAGTGTGAAAGAAATGAAAGAATCCCGATTTGTCTGGCTGTCTGACGGTAACATGCTGAGTTGGCTTTTTAATGAGGAGGTTTTCAGACAGAGAACACAGTATCTTCACAACAGGACTGTCGAGTAAATTACATCTTTTGAAATATTCTCTTTTGGTGATCATCTTGGTTGTTTTATAGCGAGCTGTAGTACTCACATATACTCAAGTCAAGTACTGACATACTACATCCTTAAAGGTCCTCTACGAGGTATTCAGAGCGTAACTACTGACTCCACGCGGCTCTCAACATGGCGACGGCTCACAGCTAACGTCGGTAACCGCGCTAACGGTGCGAATTACGGCAAAAGTGCTGACAGAGCCAACAGTGCTGACGTGAGGGGGAACCGGAGGACGGGCGTTGTGGTTGTGCGAAGACGGCTGGGGGCGTTATCAGCAGTAACCGTATATTAATGCTCTGAATATTGTACGAGAAGCTTTAAATAGATCAATAAATGCTTGTATGCCTCATAAAAGGTCAGCAGTGAAGTAAAGTACGCACACGTTTGCAGATAGACGATAAAAGTTAATACAGGGTAAGAAGACAGTTATATGCAGATGGTTTTGAATCCTTACTTCCTGATGAACTTGTTCTCTCCAATCTGAACCCTGTACTCTGGATCATCCATTCTCAGTCAGCATGAGAAGAGCTGGGACACAAACAAGCAACACAGAGAGTTAACACAGTTTCTCCCTCTGTCTCATGACTCCTCATGACCGGCCGGCTGGAGAGGAGGAGGTGAGGAGAGGGACTGCAGGAAGGAGGAAGTAAAGCTCCACACAGTAAACAACGATCACAGATCATATCTAGTTTCCTTTCAATGCTTTTTTTTTAGTTCAAGAGACAGATCAACTCATAGTGAACAGTTAAACCAACGCTACGCAGTCACAACATCTGGTGTGTGATGGAGGAGAACAGCTGCTCTCTTGCTCCTCTTTCCTACAGTAAATCTTCTCTTTCCTGTCACCCCTTTGACTCTCTCTCCTCACGTCTGTGTCTCTCCGCACACATGCAGCTGTTTAAAAAAATGGCACCTTCGCTCTTTTCTGAACGTTGGTGTATTTGTCCTTGTGCATCAGTGGAGGACGCAGGACAGAAGCCCCCCCCCCCCGACAAGGACATGAACAGGTGGAGGACACATGTGCCACCCTCACAGCCTAATCCTTACAGCTGCTTAAACATTCATCTGTGAGCACACTATCATATGTGTTTATCTACCCATCATAGATGTGTCTATACACACAGTACATGTAGTCTGTCTGTCCTTTAAATCAAATACACTGGATGTAGAGGTGAAGACGTGCTTCATAGCTTATCCAGGAGGATTTAACAACAATTCTATAAACTTATGTCCTGGAATTGATCTTGTTTTCTCACTTTCTCTGTATTTCACACATTAAATAAAGACTGTTTTAAAGGATGTGTTGGCAACTTTAGCTCCTAAACAACACATAATTTATATTTCTTGTGGACCATCTTTGAAGGTAGCCTCTGCATTATTTTGAATGTCAGTGCGTCATGTCTGTCCACCACTTTGGTCCAGACTGAAATATGTAACAGAAATATTGAATGGATTGCCATGAAATGACATGGTCATGGTCCCCATAAGATGAATCCTACTGACTTTCATCAGTTGCTAACATGTGGTTGACATTTTTAGATTTGAGTGAAATATCTCAACAACTACTTGATGGATAGTTGTGGAATTGTGTGCAGATACTCATGGTGTTAATGAGTTTGCTGATCCTGACTTTTGATGTAAATATTTCACTTGTCACTTATCATGACATTCATGGTCTCCTGACAATATATCCGAATCAATTTTGTGATCTCCAGACTTCAGAGGTCCTCTAGGGGCGTCATCAGATCAACACCCATCCGGTGCTTTGTTGGGTTTATGACCAGATACCTGCAAATACTAACTACAATCCAATCAGCCTCAGCTGCATTTTGTGCTTAATGCTAATCAGCGAATGTTAGCATGTTAGCAGGATGAAGCTCTGTGTGCCGCGTATTCCACCACAGAGAACATCCAGTCTGCATTCATTTCTCAATGTTGTATTATTGTTGGAGCAGAGCACATTCAGCACCTCTGTAACATAACTCACAAAAGTATTAATACTTAAAGTCAGAGGGACATACCTGCCAAATAAACGTGGTATAAATGTCAGTTACAAGAGTACAAAAGATCATACCGTAGTGAAGACTGTGTGATGTTGTTGAGTCACGAGAGACAGCTGCAGAAGAGGAGGGAGAGAGAGAAAGGTTAAGAGAGGTAGACTCTGTATGTATCCTCAGGTATTAGCAGTTTTGTCACTCAGGTGTCGGTATCAAACGCCTTTTCTTGTGAGTCTGACAGCGAACAGACGAGGAAGAATCGGGGGCGTTTAAAAGGAAGTGCTCCCCTTCCGTTGAATCACTTCCTCCTTTGCTCAGTCAGTCACACAGGAAACTGACACTGGCCCTGACACGGCCCTAAACTTCCTCAATTCAAGCAGCGCGACTGTACTAACATGCACATGCACGCGCACACACACACACACACACACACACACACACACACACACACACACACAGTAATGTAGCAGCTTTAAACACACAGTGCTGATAAATAAACCGAGCCTGTCAATCACTGATATGAATGTGTTCAGCTGTTGTGGGCGAATTAAATATTAAACACCAATCAGCCCAGCCCCATCAATATTTCAGCGGCTGTATTAGCCCTGTCAAGCGCTCGAAAAGAGCAAGCGTTCAGCTGCACAATGGAGACCATTAGTCTTTAATACGGCGGCCATGGTCACTGGCTGGTGATGCCGGCGGTCGCAGACGGACATGTGGCCGACTGTCAAACCGACACAATGTCGTAATCGTGTCTCACAAGACCAACGGGAATTTTAAGTCAACCACCTCGACAACTGATAACGAAATCGACCGCTTCCTGACGTTAACCGCAGGACATGAAGATCAAATCTGACATTTAACCTTTAAAGCTGCTGCTGGAGTATCAATGGCTGTTGTACTAAATGTGAACCCTGTTCACTGTTTGCTGTTGGGGAAAGTTTGCAGAAAAAACAAGGCTTGATGACTGATGAGTGTGTGTTTTTGACGTTGTTCCGAGGGGATTTGAAAGGTTTTCTTCAGCTCATGATCTCAGTTTTCTCTGACTAGTCTTGAAATGTTTCAAGACTGGTGCCAATACGATACCAAAATATTTGTTCCTTAGCAACGTCTCAAATGTTAGATGTACAAACACAAGCAGCTGGTCAAAATATCATCAGGAACTCTCTGATGAAAGAATAAGCAAAAGAGACCATGAATCTGAGCAAACACTCGATGCCAAAACAAAAGAAGTATTGAGGTTGAAAATGACAAGAACTTCAGAGATACTGCTGTCATGAGCCACACGGCCTCCTATGCCACCCCCCTTTACCAAACACCTCCACCGTGACCTTTTGTACACCATGTTCAGCGTCTCCTCCAGAATCGAGCCTGTAGAATCGTTATAATTACCTTGACATTTCACCAAAACGGTTCCAAACCAGTGATAGCCATTTGTCCACCTCGTCTGTGTGCAAATTATTTCCGTGACATTTAGACTGCAGAAAGAGCTGCCGTCTCTCTTTGTTTTGAAGTCAACAGCAGCATCTGAATGCAGTGAGACTGACCCCGTCCTGTCTCCGATCAGGGAGCTCTTCTGCTCATAATGTAGACCTCATTGTCTCATTACAACATCAGCCAATACTCAGCCTCCGTCTTCCCCTCTGCCTCATTCGCCTTCATCTGCTCAGTTTTTTGTTTTTTTCATAACACAGTAGCTCCATTTATTCAAATTTTTTCTGATTAGGGAATTCTTTCCTCTCTGCTGTCTGGACTGTTTTTACCATTTAGCTTTCTCCTTCGTGATTCCCTTGTGAAAGACTAGAAACCATCCACCATGCTATTAAAACTCATGACCACAACTTCCTGACTCCCCCCCCCCCCCCCCCCCCCCCCTCTCTCTTTCATTGACACACATGCACGCTTGTTTTCTGCCCTCTTGCCCTGTTGTCTCTGAACCTCCTCTGTCAAAGTCTTTGGCTGAAATGGACGATGAATAGCTCCAAACCTCCTCCCGTCTGCTTTCAATCCCAGCACCACCTCCCCTTCCCCTGCCTCCACATTAATACAGCTCTGCCTCACTATTGTCACCATTGTCATAGCAACACCGAAAACATCTAAGCTCCCAGAAACCAAAAATAGTGTGTGTGTGTGTGTGTCTCCTGCTCCTCATTAGGCATACAGTACTGGGGTTGTCAGAAAAAAACAACATGTTGCAAGAATCTAAATATGGCGTCCAGATTCTTCAGATCAAGCAGAAACTATTCCGTGCCTCTTTGTTGACTGTGGAGCTGCAGAGATTAGTCGATCCACGACAAATACATCAGCAACTATTATGATAATCGATTACTCATCATTCCTGTCATTTTGCCAATAACCAGAAAGGCTAAATATGCACTGGTGTAAGCTAATTAAAGATGAATCATTTTCCAGTTGTCTTAGTCTTCTATAATGGTGAACTGAATGCATTCGTGCTTTGAGCAGGTCGGTCAGACTCAACACAACGTTCACAGAGCTCACCATGGGCTCTTCTGTGCTACTGATTGCAGCTCGTGTTGACCTAATACTTCATAAAAGATGAAGAGTTCACTCAGTGGATAGTTCATCAGACCCACAAACCTAAAACTAATGCAGTCTGGTATGAAGATCCTACACATAATAATCAGTTTAAGAAGTGTTGATTCCACTTTGTCAACATGTTGAAAGGAGCGGTTTAATTGTATCGTTTTTAATAAATGGTCCACCCTAATGCAGGTAGATAGAAACTACCATACAGGTGAATTAACACGTCTCTTAAACAGCATCAATACAAACTGAGCATAAGCTTCATGATAGTAGGATACATTCTACCTTCTTCCAACTAAATCCAAGCTTTCCTGGAGGGCTGTTGAAGTATTATTAATATAGCAAAGTGTACAAAATAAACTGGCAGCTGAACGTACATTTAAAAGACAGAAAACTCACTTCATGTATAGCCAGCCGTATGTGTGTGGAGAGGAATCTCAACTAACTATTGCTTGTTATGTAACCTTTTATACTAACACGCAGCTGTGCACACACTCCCTGCTAGAGAACAAACGTGGATAAATTGGGCATGTGTTATCATTTTCTGCTCAACATTTAGGCTCCAGTGTTACACGGAGCATGCCCATTACCGCTGCATGTGATTTAAATACAACACACACGGCTCCTATTCGAGATTTTCTGTCCATAAATGCGTCGCCCGTGCTTTTATACAATAAATAAATGTCGCTGTTGTGCATTCAATGTTGTCTAAACGTGTCTACGTATTCTTTAGCAGGCTAACGTTACAAACAATCACGCTATCAAACTACACGCAGTCCACGTCCAACGTGAACCCGCAGACAGCATCACGAGCAGCCCGCTACAGCGACGCTTCTGTCTGATTCCTGCCGACTTTTGGACATCTATCTCGGCTCACCAAACCCGGCGGAAGCAGGCTCTCCGGTTGTCCTCGTCCACCGACTCCTTCTCCCGTCTTTCCTCTTCTTGCCCGTGACGGCTGAACTATCCGTTAACGGTAAACTCCTCGGTCAACTCGCTCGCCCTCCTGCCGCTGGAAACAATCGCTGGGGCGCGTGCATCCAGGAGGAGGAGAGCGCGAGAGGTCCATCTGCTGTGGCGGAGCTCGCGGAACGGAGACGTCTGGGGGCCCCGACGGGAGCCAATCAGAAGGCGAGCCTCACGCCCCTTTGTTCGCGCTGTGTGCAGAGATGAATGAAAACACCGAAACAATAGGAGAGCCGAGCATGCGCACACCATCTCACTAATATTCATTGGAAAGAAACCATAATTTACTTAACTTATAAATGTAAATAACACAACTGGTTTTTAAACCAATTTCAAACTCTGTCGACCAATTGGAAAACGATAAATAAATGGTGAGTATTAAGATAGTAACTACATTTTTGTTATTTGCAGTATTTTTCACCCAAAAATTACAAATATTTGCTTGATATGATGCATCTCAAATGTGCATTTTTTTTTTCGACCAAACAAGCAATTTGAGGACATACATTTGGGCTCTAGGGAGTTTTAAGAGGCGATTTTCACTACTTTATTCTTTTATAGAGAAATTATTAATTGATCATGTATATACTCTTTAGTTGCAGCCCTCATATTTAACTAATGTAACACTGAACTTTTATATTCAGCCGAAACCGTATAGCATTCAAGTCTTCACTAAAATCGCTCTCTCACAATTAATACATTTCTTAAAATTAGGTTTTACTTCAAGAGAAGGGCTCAAAATTTGGTAAAAAACAACAACCTTACTGCATCAGTTGATATCATCAGTAGTGCACATTGTCAAACAAAATTTGACTTAATTTAACTACATTACACAAGGAAGCGGGGGAAGTTTCTGCTTGGGTGGCTCACTGGCTTAAGCGGGTTGTCTGATAACCGCAGGGTCAACGGTTTGATCCTCGACTGGGACGTGCCACGTGTCGTAGTGTCCCTGAGCAAGACACTGAACTCCCAGCTCCACAGCGCCCATCATTGGCAGCCCACTGCTCCCTATATATAGGGATGGGTCAAATGCAGAGGTCAAATTTCGTGTATATGACAATAAAAAGGGATTCTATTCTTTGCCTGGATTATAATCCATTTTTAGCTGCATGATAAATCTGTGCCTGTAATCTAATAATTTATAGTAATTTTAATATAACTTTGATAGTTTTCATATTAGGGTACTTGCTTGGTATTTGATGGCAACATTAAAAAACATTTACAGCCATTTATCTAAAAATACTAGTTTGTAACCTGTGACCGTCTAAATATTTCAGTTTTATTACCAATAAAGACAAAAGACTGCGTTCATTCAGTAACATCTTATTAAATAGCTTTAGGAACAAAGATTAAAACATTTTGTAGCTACAAATTGGTTTACACAATTTGTCTTCCAGAAGGTTTAGCAAACTTTACTCCATTAAATATACATTTATTTTGGTCCGTTTTGTTTTTACATCTATTTAAAGTTGCTCAGCTTGTTCTTTTAATGTGTTAACATGGACATGAAAGCAATGTTGGAGTAAAAAAAAATACAATATGAAAAAGGTCCAAACAAAAACACACAAAAGGATTCCACCAAACCACAGATTCATAAAGGATCAAAATGTATTTACTTTTAAATAAAAAAGTACAACAGAATGATGCGATTTCCAGCATGATTTATGATTAAAAGTTATAATTTGTTTCTTACAAATATTTGCTTGAAAAAAAACCAACATAAAAATGTATATATATATAAAAACAAAACAAAAAAAACATTGAAAAAGATAAAACAATAGTATATTCTTCAGGTAGCACCCCCTTCAAAATAACTGAAAGGGATTGATGTCTTTGTTCACACACCTCGTGGCCACCTTCTTAAGAGCTGTTGCTCGTATGTAAATCAGGGAAGAGAGTCTGTGCTTGTGAAGTCGTGTTTACTGTAACAACTATGTCCCAAAGACAAATGCATGTTTATAGAATCCTAACATCTCAAACCAAGAGGAGGCTGCCTGTAGGTGCAAAGACGTCCCCCCACGTTCGGTGATAAGGCAGATTCACTCAGCTCACGATGACCAACGTGATCTTAATAAGGTGGCCAGCCGGTGTCTTCTTCTGCATCCAGAAACGTCGACAGTTAAGATTTTCTGGGGAGGAAACCATGTACACGAAACACGAGAGGACACCAATATGTTTTCGCCGCAGGACCGAGGGGTTCAACAGTGTGTGGAGAGAGGGAGAGAGAGAGAGAGGATGTGACGGGAGACGCAAGTGCTGGTTGCATGAATGTCCTACACAGACCACGAGGTCACACGATGTGTGCATGATTATTGTGTCGTTCTAATAAAGAATTCACTACGAGACGCCAAAAAAACCCTCTCAAAGGACCTCGATTCACTCTCCTCTCTACGAGAAGGTGTCGGAGGAGGCCACTGCTCTGACCTGATCTTCACCTGCTCCTGGAGCGAGGTCAGGCAGCGTGGGCGAGGATGTCACAAAAAAAAAATAAAAACATCAGCTGGTGTGCCAATGACTAATGCTAATTATACTGACCACCCAGTAACACTGCTCGTTATCTACAAGCCGTCCAGCTGGTGACGTTAAGAGTTTGTGCAGATGTCAGCGGACCGAGCCTCTTTCGTCTTCAGCACCGCGTGATTCGGATTACAGATGGATCAAATAGTTCAAACATTTCCACAGACCCTTCATCAATTTCTACCGTTGAAAAAACATTTTGTCTTACTATATTACATGCTGCATTTTGACAGGTAGGACTACAAATTAAGGCTCTGTAGCATTTAGACAGGGCCACACATTTTTACAGCTGTGATTCTGTAACACTACAGAATCAACAGGAAAAAAAAAGGATCTGTGCCTCCATTTTGGTAACATCCAAATAAAGCATGTGGTGTACACCGGTCCCTGCCAGTGCGAACATCCGGCACAGTAGGAGAGAGTCTGTGGAAATACAAGATTTTAACTTTACTCCTGTCCGAGGGTCAAACACTTAAATCATCCCGAGCAGACAGTAGACATCTGTTGCATCATTCAATCCTCCGTCGGGTAAAAAAAAAAAAGAAGAAAAGGTTGTTGTGGTGACGTACAGAGTGCTGAGGTCATATATGGGGCTATAGCCGACCACGGCGTCACAGATGAAGGCCCAAAAACGTCCAATCACAACCAGCCACTTGTCCTCGAGTCTTCAAACAAGACAACGTTCTTACTTGATAGATTATAGATCCGACACATGTTAGGTTCTTGGCACCATTACATGTGCAAACAGTACTTGTAGCAAAAAGGCCCTGATTATGAACTTTGACAAAACTATTCAGTTCCCAACGTAGTTTTTTCAGTGTTTTTCTCTTGTTTCTAAAAACAACATGACATAAATGGAATGACACAGAAGCAGCTCACATGAGAAACCGTCTCTAGAAGAAGCTGCTGTTTCCAGGTGAGTTTCTAAAAGCACCGACTGTAGCTTAGCGTGGTCCTTCATCTTTACACGGCATGAAGGAGTAAACTAATAAATATACTTTCAACATTGTGCAAGAGACACATAGACCTGCAAGCAATCACTAATCGTCTAGTCATAAATAAATAAATAGGTTTAACAAAAGATTAAAAATCGAGGGAATTTGGGATGAGATGTCAAACTTATTCTTTTAAGTTTCTTAATAGCGACAAATGCCAATGCTTTTAGTTTGTGGTAACAGATCAATAAGAGATTTAAATAAAGAACTTTTTAGCATTTTGATTTAGTTAAAATCTCAGCTGGCTAAATATTTCGTAGTTTTCATTTAGCTAATACTTTTCTCATTGTGCAATTTTATCTAGACATTTACCAAGATTATAATGTTGCAAACTTATTTCCATGGTGTGTTTTTATGTATTTATTTAATATAGCTGTTTTCTAATTGAAAAAACCAGAGGCACACATTGTGGTCAAATTAGAGACTCACTCTTCAGGGTCACGCCTGTGTTTGTAAGTCACAGGCTGCTGATGCTCCCAGACTGCTAAATGTGCCGCCTGAACTACAACAGACACAGAGAGTAACAAACACCAGCAGCTATTTAAAGTGGGATAAGAGTTGAGGGGGGGGGGGTTGAATGGGTGGCCGAGAATGGGAGGAGGAGGAATGTAAACGAATCAATCAACATCGTTAATTAAAGAGAAAATTGCTCATGACATCTGCATCGCTTGTAAGTCCATAAGAATAAAATGACTACATTTAAATACTCCACGTCCAGACAAAAACCCACCACCTTTACGTCTTAGTACAGTTATGTAGGAGCCAACTGAACGCACTGATAGAGTGGGTTTGGATAGTGGCAGAGGCGTTTCATTGATGTGTGAGTCCCACAATAACACATTACTGCTGAAAGCAGAGCACAAGCAACACCAGTGAGAGGAGATCCACACAGAGGATCAGAGCCTCTCTGACGACGACGATGACACACGTCTCAGTTACTGTGCGCCACTGCTGTCATCAAAGCGTCTAACCAAACTGGGAGGAGTGTGTGTCTGTCTGTCTGTCCGTCCGTGCTCCGATTTTCTCAACAACCGTTCATCCGATCAACTTCACACTTGGTGGGTGCTTTGCTTTGCTGAAGAGCCGAGGGAGCGCAGTGTTCGAGCGCGAGCTCTTAAGACACATTCATTAGTAGGGTGTTATGTACATAGTGTAGTGCATTGAGAGGGGGCCCCTATTAACTGTTACACCGCCGAACGGCATGCTGGGTACAGTTTGCTGGATTCCGAATCTTATACTTTTTCTTTTTACTTTTAGTACATGCTGCAGCTGCCCTTTAAAAGTGCGTACTGTTGCATGCAGTATGCATTCAATTTGGGACGCACTACTTCGTCATGACATTGCACTTTGACCCTCTTGCTCATGCATCTGCTGCATAGAGGATTGTGGGTCAGAATAGCCAGAAAAGCATGCTGGCTTGCATACATATGTATTTAATAATATACTTGTTTTAATATACTCTTCTGATTCTGATACTGCAAAATGAGACCGGATGCAGTCAGACATCCTGGTACTTCTAGCATACTGCATTTGAGATATTATGTATTGGGACATACTAAATCTTTTTCTGGCTTACTAAATAGTGTGGTGGTATTGGAACACACGGTAACCGTTATACCGCCGAACGGCATGCTGGGTACACCTTGCTATGGAAGCACAGTGTTGAGTGTGAAGTTGTTTGGATGAGCGGTTCTCCAGAAAGCTTCAAGCAGCAAAAACGGAGGCTGAGCAGCCGAACTGTTTTTCATTAAATGCTTGTTTTGCTTTGCAAGTGCCCTTGTGTGTTGGAAGAGAATGTAAAATAAGCAAATCAAGGTAATCAAATAAAAATAAATACCGATTTAGTTCCATTCGATGGACAAATGGGACAACGGTGTGTCCAGGAAAAAGTCTCGTTGGTAACCGATGCATAATACGACACGTTAAAGAGCTGTAAACCGGTTCGTTACACTGAAGATCTTTGAGAAGAGGGAAGAGAAACTGGGTTTAGCGTGAGATGAGCGAGTGTGATGTGCTGCTAAACGCGTATCAGAGGAGGTTTCACTGAAGGAATGGGGGCGCGAGCTTCAGAGTGACATTCTGCTTTTGAACTCAGGAGGCAGATAGTGCAAAAAATATATATATATTTAAATTTCACAATCATTTTGCACGACTAAGGGGGGCCCTGACCAACCACTTCCCTCAATCTGCATGACCCCCGACGTGCATTGTGGTGCTCAAGCTAGTTCTGGTGAGGCTGTTGGTGTGTGTGCGTCTCCAATGTGGCTGCATAACCAGTCGAGAGGCGAACGCTCCGCAAAACACATTTTTGCATAATCCTCGACTGATATAATCACATTTACTTTGAATAGAGAATATCTTTTATAAAAATTGGGCAGTATACGTTAGCAAGTTATCATCAAACATTCAGCTTCGATTGTTTGAAGTCCATCCGTCTCCTTCTAGATTAAAGTGCACATAGATTAATGCACACACCCGTTATTCTCTTGCTGAATACACACATGCACACACACACCAACTAACCTCCACATGGTGACGTCTTTTATAGCATGCTGTGACTTGCTATAACATGCTTAAAATAGCATAGTGGGAATGCTGACGGGGGGGGGGGGGGGGGGGGGGG